AAAGATTACTACCAATAAAAAAACAATGCCCAATCAGAAAATTACTACTAATAAAAAAATGACTAGCAGTAACAAAATAATGCCCTATAAGAAAATTACTACTAATAAAAAAAAATACTACCAACATAAAAATTATGGCCAACTAAAAATTTATGAGGAAAGTTTTATAGATTTAATTTTTCTGCAAAATGCAGAATCAACATTATGAAAAATAGCCATATAAAAGAAATGGCAAAGGCCCTCTTAAATAATTTTAAAAATAAAGATTTTAGGACTAAAAATAAAATTGGAAACTTGTACTTAATTAAAAATGAGAATTTTATCATTGGCACTTCGGGTGCAATAAAAACATACATTGGGTTCTCGCAAGATGGTACTTTGGTAGCAGTTCAGTGTGGATGTAACAATCAAAAAAATATGCTTTACTTCACAAATGAATTTAATAATTTAAAAAATACTGAGCTGGAGAGCAAGAACATCATTAAATATGTATCCATAGAAGAGGATAGAAATCATATTTATATAGCAGTAAATCTTTGGGATTACTATCTAGACGAATACATTGAAAATCGTTATCAGCCAGAAATAGACCAACAACAAAATGACAACCAACTAAAAAATCATTTTAAAAAACTAGTGGAGGAGATGCTCTTTGGCCTTCGAGATCTTCACCAGGCCGGAGTGATACATGGTGATATAAACCCTAGAAATATCATCATAGGTATGAAGTGTGTTTGCTTTATTTTTATTTTAACTTTTTACAGCATATCTCAGAATGTCATAATATTATGCTGTCTTTATTATATGTAAAATTAAAACTCTATTCTCAACAGATTCTGAAGAAAATGTTAGACTTATCGGCTTTGGCAGAAACATCAAACTGGAGGAGGGAAAAACAACTGCCAATACAGAGAGAGCTGGTGTCCAAGAGAATGATTATACAAAGAGCTCTGACATCAAGGTTTGTGAAATATACAGCAGATTATCATAATGAAACTGCAAAAATATTTAGCCAAAAAAAAGGATTGCCACTCATTTGATATGAATTAAGGCTTAAGGTCAAACCAGTGAAAAAGATGATATACAGTATTCTACATGGAGTCTACAAATATATATTCAGCTTGTCATGTGATCTCAACACAACAACCACTGAGCATGACTTTATGAATAAAGCACCTTCACAACTGATCAAATGTTTACCTTGAGTCTGAAGTCACTTTGGATAAATGCATCTGCCAAATGCATGATTGTTAATGTAGATCAGCATGTTCTTCACAGTCCGCTCCATTTCTTGCAGGCTGCTGGGATGTTGGTGTACTACATCCTCTCTGGTGGGAAACATCTGGTCATAGAGGATTGTGACATGCAGAATGATGTGCTAGATATTGTAGCCCAGGATCTCATTGACTGGATGATCAACAATGACCCAGCCATTGATGAGGTCCTAAAACACCCTTATTTCTGGAATAAAAAAATGTAAGTTATAAAAGGTGTTTTATGTCTAATAACGGTATGCTGTTCTGTGCAGTTAAATGAAAATTCATAAATATGGTTAATGTAGTACTTTTTCTTTAAAGATTATGTTATGTATACTTTTATCCTTCAATCAGATGTTCCCCAACTAACCCCTGCATTTATACAATTTGTGCTTGTGTCCTAATCTGGAAGAAAAATACATGTATGGTGTATGCTGGCTTGATATGCATTTATGCAAAAGATATGCTGCTAAATTTACTTGCTTTCTTTGTTCATTCAGAACAGAGGAAGTGCTGAGGAAAGTGGGCGATCGACCTGAAGTCCAGTACTACACTGATATTTCAAAAGCTTGCCAAATTTGGAAAGCTGAAAAAGGCCTAACAGGAGTAGAAGCCGTCGAAAAGGCCTTCATCGATAAAAAGGACAAAAATGGACAAAAAGGGGCTGTGTAGGAGAAAAAAGCTTTTTACTTTATTATTTTGACTTTGATTCTATTTCTCTCCATTACTTCACACACTGTTCTCACCTTCATACTCTGACATAAACAGCTCTGTACAAGTCTCTGTGTGTTTTTGCTTGATGTGCTCTTTGTCTGCTCTTTTCTTTAGGAAAACTAAAGTTCTTGAGATACTTGGAAAGACTGAGCAAGTCCAGAACGAAAACTTTTCTGAAAAGTTTTTCAAGCTTTGTAAATGTGCAGAGAGCAACTCAAAAGGCAAAACATTTAGTAAATGGAAATCAGAGGTGGGGAGAAATATCCAACAACAGAATATCAGCTTTCCTTGCTAAACTGTGTTCATAAAATATTAATGACTTACCTGATGATCACAACAATTTGGTAACTGTTTACTAACTGAACATTTCTTAGTGTAATACCCTTGTGTTGTATTTGCAGCTTTCAGGTGAATGGCCAAAAATAGACAAAACTTTTCCGGAGGACTTAATTGGCCTGCTGCGTACTTACCGCAACAAACTGGTTCATGTGTAAGACATACAAAAATACAACTAAAATTTGATCCAGATCTCACTTATTTCTGTTCTTGTCTTAAGATAATGAAATATTACTAATGTCAAGTTGGTCTATTTTAACCAATCATTTTAAGTCAATCTAATGCAAATTAATTGTATCGAGAGTATAGATTCGTGTTTCTCAGAGACTTAAAGTGCATCATAATCCTAAATGACCTAAAATATGACTTCAATGTTTAAAGCTTTTTGTTACAGGTTAAAGAAAACATTGAGTTTTCATTTTAATGTAGTGCATTACAAGCCTTTCCTTGCTTAAATTTCTCTCCCATTAATGTATCTCAAGTTCCATGTTAATCTAGTGAGGGGATTCAATGAACAGATGTTCAACCGTTTTCCAGATTTCTACATCAGCATACACAGATTGGCTATAGACGTGGGCTGGGACTGTACCTGGTCTTAAGATGAGCGAGGAGATCATCAGCACCTGTTGTGAGTGGGAGATGAGAGAGCCTCTACCATACACTCTAAAAAATGCTGGGTCAAAACAACCCAATAGTTGGGTTTGTCTCTTTTTAACCCAGCGCTGGGTTATATTTAACCCAGCATTTTTTAGAGTGTTGGGACTAACATTTTTAGGTTATTATAGCTTGTCCATGGAGGGGTGAAGAGACACATGTGTGACCCATGAGGGAAGCAAGTGTCACCACTCTCATTCTCCTTTAGAGACCTCACTGGACCACCGTGGGATTTTGGAGCTTACACCAGTCTCAGAACCCAGTGTATTTTCTGCTTTTTTGTAATTATATAATAAATATAATTACATAAACAGTATGTATTCCGAGAGTTTCGTTTCTAATATTCAGTTTTATTGTGTTTTGTTATTCTCTTTTACAGTTTTGCATGCAATTCTAGACTAGTTTGTATCGCTCAGTTCTTTTTCTATTTATTTGTATTTTTTTTGTTGTAGTAAGGGTATCTTCAATGAACTCCGTTCATTGGAGTTCATGGGGGCTGAAGCCAAGGTACACTAGGGGAGGGGCCTATACTGGCTGCAGGTAAATTTTGAATAATTGTAGGCTATATATGGGAGTTTGCAGCAGTGACAACAGTGTTCTATAAACAAACTCACATACTTGTACATTTTCAGGATTCACAATGCCATTTTCGGTGACGGCCTTCTATATGAAAGGAACTGTAGCTTACAAATGAGCTGAAGGTTTTCCCAGGAGAAAAAAGTGCACATAGTGTACTTAAAGGGTCATGAAACCCCCTGTTTCAGCACTGGTTAGTTCTCACCACAGTTTTAAAAAACGCTAAAAAAAGTGGGCGTGGTGCGCTGAGGAGCAGAGGGGGAAGAGGGGAGACAAACAGCTTCGGTTTCAGACGGTTTCATTCCGCTCCCATCGAGTTAAAAACACAAATAAATGCACAGCCATTTGCACTCTGCATCGAAAACATATATATGAACGCGCTGTTGCAACTCTGATAACTTTAGGCTTATTCTGCTGCGTTTATATAAGCCGTTTGACGGGTTGTGTCACGGAGCTGTAAAAATGGTTACACTCACTAAGTGAATGAATCACATTTGTGCCGAACTCTTATTACAAAGCAAAAACAAACACTCTCCTTCGATCCATGAACGTTTCTCTCAGATAATGTACGCGGTCTCGCAGTCTGAAGCGTCTGTCATAGCAAATCAACACATGCTGTTGTGAATAATTAAGCGAAGCGTCTTCTCATTGGATAAGAAAACGCAGTCTCATGAATAATTTAATAGACACCGACACGTCATCGATGTACTATAGTGCATTGCCACGTCACAAATTGTGACGTCAACACGATGTAGATTTTAAACCCGGAAGATGAAAATAGCGCAAAAAAAAAAAGCTTAAAATTAACCAGTTTTCTCCTACAGTTAGAACTATCGAATGCTAACATTGTCTTCTATGATCTGCAACACAAACACCTGCTAAAATCTCAGAAAAAGTACTCTGGGGTTTCATGACCCTTTAAAGTGCTCTATTTTCATGCACTAATTGTGTACTTAATCTACTAAAAATATTCTTCAGTACTTCTTACGATAATCTTAAGAACATCTAAGTGTACATTTTGAGACACCCTGATTATAAACAAAAATGCACTTTTAACATATTTCTGTATTTAAAACTGTAGTTGCCGTTGGAGTACACTTGAACCCATCTTTCATCGACAAGTGGGTTCAAGTGTACTACAAGTGTAAGTACATGTAACATATAACATTTTGTGCATTAAAATGTATAAACCTGGTATTACGTGACAACACCGTGTGGCGCTCATAGACTGTAAAGAGGTGGCGCTTTATCCTCATGAATAGAGAAATTTTGTCAAACTTTGTAAATAGTAAAAAAAAGAAAGTAATTCGAATGACTATGCCAGTAAACGCACATTTCATTAAGAATGTTTCTTGGTAATTGCCATTCTACCCTTTTGTTTTATTTCTGTGGTCTTATGAGGCTGTATGTGCCACACTCAAAATGGCGCCCTGGACTCGCCATCTGTCACGCATTCATGTTCCTCTTCCGCCCTCCACGCGCTGTCAATCTGTAAAAATCCCACCTGTCTTTAGCGCTGTACTGTACGACAAAAATGTTTTAGTACCGTGTGTTCACAATTCGTCTTGTTTACAGGTACGTGAAGCTCCGTAAAACGGAGTCCATTATTAGTTGGTGGATTGTACTGCGCTTTTGGGTCAGCTGCTATTTGTGTGCGTGACTGTGGCCAAGAACTGTCTTTAATGTTGTTTATGCATACAGATTACCTGCTTGAGGATTTGTTTACAGTGACTCCCAACTAAAAGGAGTAGTATTACCAAATGTGTCATTTAAAGCAGTACTGATACCTCGAATATCTTGTCTTGACTAGTGTTTTAACTATTTACTACAACCAGTGTTGGGAAGGTTACTTTGGAAATGTAATAGGTTACAGATTACAAGTTACCACATAGTTTGCCATAATTTCTATTCTGCTGATATTGTATGCTGTCATTTTGGGCAGTTCTCTTTTATCTTATCTGAAGGGACAAACTTGGTAAAATTAAGATTAAATAATAATGACACAGTTGTCTGTTTTGATACAAGCATGGCTTTGTAAGCTCTATGACATGCATTATTGTTTTTCAGAGGCTCACTTCATCATGGCATTAAGAAGTGCGAGTCGTCTGCTTGTGAACAGCCAGAGATGTGTCCTCTTTACAGCTTCCAGAGCACAGAAAACTTCTGTGGCTTCTCCATTGGGTCAGAACAGCAGTTTGTTTTATATGTCTCTAGATATATAATGATATAATGTACACTTATGCAACCTTGTGTTACTCCAGACCTGTATATTGTTATTTTATCAGTGGAAAATTACCATGTCTGTCAAGCTAAACAAAACAAAAACACCATACCCATAATTCAGTTTTTACAATTATATTCCAAGCCTTCTGAAGCCATACATTGGGTTCATATGAATAAAAGACTAAAACTTAAAGTCTTTTTTTAAATCAATACCATTAGAGTCAATAAATGACTTACATTTTTGGATGAACTATCCATTTAAATGTGATTTGATTTGAGTTTTATGTCATCTTTATCAATGCATGTTTAATTTCACAGCTCAAGTATAGAATTAAAGTAAAGTTTTTCCACACATTTCTATTTGCACATGCATAACAAAGATGCACAGGTGTATAATTCTATTGTTCTATCAGATGCAGAAAAGTCTGGTGAAAAGAAGCAAGTGAAAACACGTATGTTTACCTGTTTTGCAATATTTTCTGCTCTAAACTTGTGAAGATCTGGTGATCACTAACCTGCATGTTGGTTTCTAACCTGCCATATAAACCTCAGCTAAAGTACAGTTTAACTGGCGTGATGCTTTGGAGCTGGAGGGTCTCCTGACGGAGGAGGAGATCATGATTCGGGACTCCTTTCGCACCTACTGCCAGGAGAAACTCATGCCACGCATCCTGATGGCCAACAGAAATGAAGGTGTGCATATACTTGTATCACATGGATAGTTTACAATAGGACTTCTAAAATGGGCTACGGTTTGTGTTGGGTGCTTAGTTTCCACTGACTTGAAGCATTTTTAAACTAACTGCCCTTTGTTCTCCACTAGTTTTTCAACGTGAGATTGTGTCTGAGATGGGAGAACTTGGTGTTTTGGGACCCACTATTAAAGGTACACACAATATATCAGTCCCATATCAGTTAGCAGTTGATATGGAGTAGGGCTGCATGGTTAATTGAAATAAAATCGAAATAGGGGTTTTAATTCAGTTAAAGGGGTCATATGATGCGATTTCAATTTTTCCTTTCTCTTTGGAGTGTTACAAGCTCTTGGTGCATAAAGAAGATCCTGCGTGTTTCAGAGTAAAGCGCAACACTGTGTTCATTTACACGAAAGCAGCTCATGATTCAGTGTTTTCAGTGTCTCAGAGCAGATCGATTCACAGTAAATGCTGCTCCACACAAATTCATCTCTGCATCTGCTCTGAGTTTGGGTCACTTGTATTGCATTATAATAATTTTTTTTCCCAGAAAAGTTGCAAATCAATCTTTTCCCTAAATCATGCAGCCCTATAGTAGAGATTTTTAAAATATACCCTTCTGCCATCTAATACCTAGTCAGGAAATGCAGAACTGATTGCTTGTTTAAAGTGTAACCATCTATACAGTACGTTTCTGTAACTCTCTTTCACTCATGCACACTTCCCTATCAAGGTTACGGCTGTGCTGGCACAAGTTACGTGGCGTACGGTCTCATCGCACGTGAGGTGGAGCGAGTGGACAGCGGCTATCGCTCGGTCATGAGTGTGCAGTCCTCACTGGTCATGCACCCCATCAATGCTTACGGCACTGAGGAACAGAAGGAGAAATACCTGTCGAGACTGGGTAAGACTACAAAATCAATAGCCAAACATTCAGAAAATGTGTCTGTGCAAAAAATCTTAATGCTTTATATTCTTTATCTATTGATGTTGGGCTTTTGTTTTTGTTGTGATTGAAGTATTGTTCATAAGATTCACCCACTATTGTCTTTGTGTTGTGCAGCACGAGGAGAGATTCTAGGTTGTTTCGGACTAACTGAACCAAACCACGGCAGTGACCCAGGCAGCATGGAGACCAGGGCCAAGTACAACCCGTCCAGTCGCACCTTCACCCTCACCGGCTCCAAGACTTGGTAGGTTCAGTGCCGCTCTTATGTAATGCACAAGCTTTATGACAACAGCAAAGAACAGAAAAGTTCACAAATGCATGGAACTGCATGGATGAACTCAAGAAATCACAATCCATTTGTACAAAATGAGAAGGCTAATTAACATTCTCTGGCATTTACAAACTGTGTCCACATGGTGGTGCCATGGACTGCATTCACTTAATGGACAGTTGCTGCCTCTGCACAGTGATGATGTATTTTTGTAGGCCGTCCCTCAAGTTAGGATCACTGTTTCACTTGACAAAAAGCCAGTAGGATTTTCCATTGGCTTTTGGATTATTGCAGAATATGGGCTCTGTAATCAATGAAAGTTTATGGTTCTTATGATTTGTTCATCATGATGTTTTCAAATGAATACAGTTATTACGAATTTTGAAGCCTAAATATAAGTTAGAAGTAAAAGAAAAAGACTACAAAACAAACTACTGTCACATGACTTCAGCATAACCACCGTTAAGCTTCGGACAACTCTTTAAGTCTTTATTTAATGAACATTATCCCTGAAAGTTTTAGTCAGAATCGAGTTATAAACACAGCCAGGCTGCAGACTAGTAGAAATCTGTTCAAGATAAGTAAAAGCTTTAAAACATTACAAGGGGATGTTACTGATTTATTTTATGTTGTAGAGTAAAATGTGAAAATATCTTGAGCTTGTGTTCACCACAGACCTCAGGTATTTAACCAAAAGCCCATTCAAAAAACCCACCGACTTGAAGACAATGGAACCATAAGTGCTAAAATGCTAATTCGTTTCTGGGTTTTAGTACTCATTCCTGTGACACTCTACACATTTTGAAAAATTACTTATGTTGTGGACACCCGAAGTGGCAAAGAATCTCTTCCATCATCTTACACTCGCCCCCATCTCTTGCACAGGATTACGAACTCACCAGTGGCTGACATCTGCGTGGTTTGGGCCAAGTGCGAGGACGGGAAGGTACGTGGCTTCATCTTGGAGCGTGGCATGAAGGGTCTGTCCACTCCTAAGATCGAAGGCAAGTTCTCCCTGCGGGCGTCAGCCACCGGCATGATCATCATGGACGAGGTGGAAGTGCCAGAGGAAAACCTGCTGCCCAAAGTTTCAGGACTGGCGGTGAGTGAGTGAGACGCTACATGAGACACCATCGAGAAATGTTTACTGGCTTTATTATTGGTAGGCATAGAAATAAAATCAATACTAGATATGAAGTCTTTCAAAATAATGGTTAAGCACTAGCTTACAGAAACCAGAGCTGTATAATCATTTTTAGTAATTAGAAATCTGACCTTTTCTCTTAGCCAGTGTGTGCAACAATTGACAAAGGTTTATTGTAAAGACACAAGAGAAATCAACAGAGAATCAGAACAGAATGTCAATTTTTGTGCTGTAATTGAAGTGCTTTCTGCCAGCCTTGTAGGATCTAAATCAAAGCAGTAATAGTTGATGAAGTAATTATCCTCCAGAAGTACATCCCTTCATACACTTTTTAAAATATATCTGACCATTGAAATTTGGTGGTTGTCTGATGGAAAGCTAGGCCTCAATTTCTTTGGGAACAATTTTGACCAGAGCTTTTTTTGCATTGATTTGATTTTTATTTCTCCCCACTGAACAAGGAATTAAACAATCCTTGTTTGGTCAACTGTGGTTCAGTTCTTTAGATGCATATAAAAATGGATGAATATCAACAATTGAGCATATTGAATGAATAATCCTTTTTCCAGATTACTTACCCCGTCTGCCAGATTCCAGTCGTAGTATTCTGTTGATCATATTATTTCTGTTTCAGCAGTCAGGGAAGAAGCAAATTTCCTTAGACTTTTAGAAAAATGATTATTATATCCAAATAGTGCCATTGATAGCAGAGGAATTGTTTCCAAAATCTCTTTTGGTTGATATCCACATCCACATGTCCAGGCCCCCATAGTACACATATAATCTTCTAAAAACAGCAATGTAACCGTGTATTTCCCAACAAATACTAATTAAAATGGATAAAAAGCAAAATGAAACAAGCATGTAGCACAATATTCATGCAGCTGCACTTATTAGTACCACCTACAGGACCAGAAATGCAAATTAGATGCATGTGCTTTAATCTTTACATGCAATGCATATTTTTGTGCTGAATGTTTTTGTACTGTCCCCATACAAATAAACAAATAAAAAAAGACTGATATGTATATCACTCAGGCCAATTGCTGGCCATTTTGAGATTCATCAGCTGATTAACAAAAGTCATAATTAGCCCTTATTGTTTTAAATTCGTATCGACTTTCATTACATAATGCTAATATACTCATGATTTTCTTCCTGGTTTCCCAGGGTCCGTTCGGGTGTCTGAATAATGCTCGCTATGGCATTGCTTGGGGAGCTCTGGGTGCCGCAGAGTTTTGTTTCCATGCAGCACGACAGTACACACTGGACAGGTCAGAACACATCTGTTATCTAATGACCATCTATACTCATAAACAAGTGACTGCATAATGTGAAAAGTGTAGAAGAATTTCAATACATAAATGTTAATGTAAGTAAATTTGCTTGCTTCCAGTTTATTGCTTGCTAAGATTGGCTGTCCTTGTGGTTAAAATCTTTATGGTTCTTGCAGATGTTGTTTTTCAGCATGCAACATAATCTGTAATGTTCCCATTAGAATCCAGTTTGGAGTTCCTCTAGCCAGAAACCAGCTGATCCAGAAGAAAATGGCAGACATGTTAACCGAGATCACCATTGGCCTGCAGTCGTGTATTCAACTGGGCCGACTGATAGATGAGAGAAAGTGAGGTTCATCTTTATGCTGCTGCAGTTTGGACTGGATTTATAAATTTGGATATTTTTTTTGTGAGGATGCAGGAGTTTGGAACTGAGAAAGACAAATATTTGGTGCAATTAATACCTGCCACGGGGTCACTGAAACCCAGAAAATATCTGTATTTTTAAAAATGTGATTTAATGTGGGAAAAATGTTTAAATGAATAAAAATAAACCCCTAAGGAATAATTTTCAAGCTAATAATCTTTACTCCCCAAACTACATTCACAGAGCGGCTCCAGAGATGATATCTATGCTAAAGAGGAACTCCTGCGGTAAAGCCCTGGATATCGCTAGACAGGCCCGAGATATGCTGGGAGGAAACGGCATCGCAGACGAGTATCACATCATTCGTCACGTCATGAACCTGGAAGCCGTCAACACTTATGAAGGTCAGAGAGAGTAAAGGAGACGTGAATAAATTGATCAGTTCAGGCATTACAGGGAAACCCATCTGTAATCCCTGCTTCGAACTTCCTGATCCTGGTCACTACACAGGCAGGAGTTTTGTAATGCTTTGAGCTTTTAAGAAAGTGATCGGGATTACAAAGCAAAGTTAGATATTTTTGGAGGACGTCTGCAAGTTGCATTAGAGCATTTTTCATATTTTATATTTATTACTAAGCAAAACCTGATTGTCTCATTAAGTGTCTAATGTCTAAAGTCTCATAAGATTTTCCCAAGCTCTACATGTCACTGAACATTGATTATTGTGTTCTTTTGTAGGTACCCATGATATCCATGCCCTGATCCTGGGCAGAGCCATCACTGGACTTCAGTCCTTCACGGTGGACAGATGAGCTGCTGTCACATCATGTACACTGACTGCTGCTGCCTTTGACCTATAGCCCATATAGTTCCTGAATGCTTTTAAACTTTGCATTATTTACCATTACAACTTGACTTGAAATTGACAATACAATATTCTCTGAATCTGGTAGCAGTATTTTAATGAATGTGTGTCATTTCGAATGTCTGTACTTTATGTTGCCTTTGTCAGAGATCTATTTTTGTATGTTCTAACTAGATCACAACACTTGGAATGAATGTTTGACTGCAGGTTCTTTAAGTAGATTTGTAAAGAAATGCACCAAGGATCGCAGACATGAAAACTGCATGTTATTGTTTGTACATTGATGTATTATAGAAAGATTTCAAAGAAGTGTTGAACAAAATTGTTTACTGCAGTTGAATAAAAGATTAAATATTATAGTGTTTGCACATTGGTTTTCATTACCCAGATTGTACCGAGGGTCTCTAGGGTCTGTTATCTAATCCTAAATTTTATAATGGTGCTGTATCTTGCTATCTGTATCTATTTAGAGCAGCTCATTTGTACTAAGAAAGCCATACAGAGAATTGGCAACAGATTAAATGAGTTTTCAATAACTAATGCTGTGGGGAAAAGCCTTAATCCTACAAAGCTCAAACCTTAGTTATTGAAACACAAATAATGCGGTTACCCAAACCACATTTGCCAGGGTTTAGAAGGAATGATAGTAAAAGACCTTTAGGTAAACCATGTAATCCATCAAAAATTGATTTTACTTTACTTTAAATACATGTAAATACAAATCAGATTAGCATATTAATGTGCATTTGAACTTTCTTTAACATGCTATTGTAAAAATAACATGTTTACATTTTGAAAATTTTAAACCGTTCCTTTTTAAGTTAAATTAAACAAGCCTCTTTTATCATGTATGTATATAGCATGAGGTAACACACAAATCGTATAAGTGTACCCAGTCTCATATTAAGTTAATGTTTGATTGGTTTGGTTGTGTATCTACTGCTCTGTGCTGTGCTGCAGGCCTTTATTGATGGTGGCTAGGGTTTGACTGGCTCCCTGTAGCTCCATACTCAGCTGACTGCTTCTCTCCAGCACCTCCGATAGCTCAGTGATGCTGGCCTCCATGCCCTGACTGTGCTGCTCATAATACTCAAACATCTGCTCCTTCACCTGCTGACACATCTCACTCACCTGCACAGACACACAAAGCAATAGTTCACTGAAAGTTTGCTCCACCTCAGGCCATCCAAGGTGTAGAATTTGTTTCTTTATCAGACAAGATGTTCACAAGACATTAATTGATGGACTGGAGTGGTGTGGATTATTGTGATGTTTTTATCAGCTGTTTGGACTCTCATTCTGACGGCACCCATTCACTGCTGAGGATCAACTGGTGAACAAATGATGTAATGCTAAATTTATCAAAATCTGTTCTGATGAAGAAAAACTCATCTACATCTTGGATGGCCCGAGGAAAAGTACATTTTCAGCAAATGTTCAATTTGGGTGAACTATTCCCTTAAATGTCTAAATGTAAAAATATATGAAAGTTTTATATATGTGACCCTGGACCACAAAACCAGTCATAAGGGTCAATTTTTCGAAATTGAGATTTATATATCATCTGAAAGATGAATAAATAAGCTTTTCATTGATGTATGGTTTGTTAGGATAGGACAATATTTGGCCTATAACTATTTGTGACCCTGGAGCACAAAACCAGTCTCAAGTCGCTGGAGTATATTTGTAGCAATAGCCAAAAATATATTTTATGGGTCAAAATTATTGATTTTTATTTTATGCCAAAAAATCATTAGGATATGAAGTAAAGATCATGTTCCATGAAGATATTTTGTAAATTTCCTACTGTAAATATATTAACACTTAATTTTTGATTAGTAATATGCATTGCTAAGGACTTCATTTGGACAACTTTAAAGGCGATTTTCTCAATATTTTGTTTTTTTTGCACCCTCAGATTGCAGATTTTCAAATAGTTGTATCTCGGCCAAATATTATCCTATCCTAACAAATTATCCTTATTTATTCAACTTTCAGATGATGTATAAATCTCAATTTAAAAAAATTGAC